AAATTTAAGTAATATGCTTTGACTTAGGTATCATTCTCAATCTGTGCTGTCAGCAGACATGTTAAAAGACAGAAATGGGAAGAAAAGTACCTTAGCACAATGTACCACAACCCCTTCATATGCTCCACACAACATAATAATATGAGATTAGAAGAGGGGAAGGGACAACTAGCTAAAAAGCAGGCACTGAGTGGTTATTTTCTACTCCAACTGGAAACCCACTACCAAAACTACAGTAAACAAGAATGCAGACAGACATGGACAGTGGATTTCCCCATGACAGTGTACCTTCCACCGGCTGAAACATTAACCTTTGGCCTGGAGACCTTCTCAGCTGCTCGCTTTTTCAGACGTCTGTAACAGTGAGACAGCCAAATTCCATCACATGCAGGAGAGAAACGACATCCAAGCACACAATCCAACTGGCCGCACACATTCACACTAACGCATACACAGGCTGTCTTTGGTCAATACACACATTTAGTTAAGCTAGTGAAGAGACAGTGGTGAGTAACAGTTCTAGCATTCTGTAAGTACACATACATACACAATAGGCACATGTGTGATAACAGCTGAGAGCAACTCTAACCGTTGAGAATTCATTAGTGCAATGGACATCCTCAGTAAGCATTTATCAACACAGTATTGGTTATTGACTAATATAGCGCAGTTATATTTCATAGCTTGAGTGATAAAACAGCCTTGGCCTGTCACAGATGTGTTACTCTACATGTGACCGTACGAAAAGATAATGCAGGGAAAAAAAGCTCGAGGTTGTGGTTATTTAGCTTGTCCAGCAGAGCGTTGCTGACTGCACTTTTTGCAATACTTAGCACCATGTGCAGCACATGTGGCAGAGCATGCATCCCAGCTGTGTGGCTGCTGTAACGCAGAGGCTTTACAATAAGTAATAAAATGAGTTTGTGAATTGCATAATGTAATTTATGTTTGTTTCTTTAGGTTTTTTTTACTCCCTATAAATCAGAATCAGCACCGGCTCCAAAAATCCATTTTAGTAAGGATTACCACTGAGAAAGGAATTTATTAGTTACTAGTGATTGCAGTTATTTATATTTGATGGTAATCTCCTGTATTTTGACTTCCACACGCTTCCACACTCGTGGCCAGGAACCAACCAGTGCAGAGGCTTTGGAGATGTCCTTGCATGCAGGGCCTCAAAACAGCGCGTAGCTTGATGTGGCAAGTCTAATACTAATCAGTTTAAAATTTGGCTTAAACAGGAAATGGAGTCACAGCAAAGTTCACCACAAGGGGAAGAGCAGGGTTTTTTTTTTTACAGTTACAGCTGCAACATATAGAGACTGGTTTGCAAAGCTCTGCACAGCATATAAAGACTACTGGGTACTTGAATAGCTTGCAGACTGCCTGAGCAAAACAGATCAGGTATCAGTGACATCACACGTAGCACTGATTAGGTCAGCGTGAAAGGAGGAGTTTGAGATTTTCCAATTGGAAATGTAGAAAGGTGGTAGCTAAGCCAACAGTTAATGTGAGTTGGACCAGCTGTTATTAGCTTGGACCGGAGGCTGAGTTTTACTTTGCTGATCTAATCTAACGCTCACTTATCGCCTCAGCTTCGTTGCCACATTGTTTATGACTACACACAACTCAAGGTATTTTTAAGTAGTGAAGTATGACTACTGGAAGCTCTTTGTTCCATAAAATATCACCAAAAAGATGAACATTGTGACTCATTTCATGTCCTGGTAGTCTGTTCATTATCTTACCCAGACCCCCTTTCTATGACTCCAAACCTCCCCCCAAAGCCTCAGCCTTCACACGTGTCTGAGAGAAAACACACATTTCCCCTCGTACTACTGTGAACCGTCTGCAGGGGACGAATAAAACGTCCTTGAATGGAGTGGAGCCAGGAATGTCTGCAGTCGCTCTGGAGGGAATCACTGTTCTCATATAACACAGCAGGGTCTGCTCTATCCAGTCTACATAGTTTTAAAACAAGAAGAAAGGCCTGAAATTTGGCTTGATATATGACGTTGGAAGCAAAACATAAAAATCACAAGATAGGTTATGTTTTTTATTGCAATCATAAGACATCAACACTCCAGGTGAAATCTTAACTGGTAATTGTTGTGATAACACAAATCGGACTGTGGTTTCCCGTCATGCACACAGTTAACAGTCACTTCAACTTCCTTTGCAAAGTACTGAGTACAGCCCAAGAGGTTTTTCAGCTTTGCAGTCTATCCAAAGAACAACAAAAACATCCTCTGAATGAAGAAATAGGAACCAGAAGAGAACAATCAGACGCTCATACAAAATGCTGAAGCTTTCCTCACACGAGCTGTGCTGCAGACAGCACATGCAGCGTTGGCAGGCGAAGTCTACACACATTCCCTGTCACAGCCACAGTAAACAGCAGTCACTATAATGTCTGCTCTTTACTGTACACAGATTAAGATCTCGCTTGAGGTTTGGTCAAACTGTTGCCACTTTGGTTTACACACTAAAAGTGTGGGAATAATGTCAGAGAGGCTGCAGCAAATATCCCAAGTGAATGAGGGAAAGAGCAAGTTAGAGCCGCTGTTTACAAGCAGCCGGATTCCCACTGCTGGCACTGAGAAATAAACTTGGAAAAAGAAAGTCCGCTATAACTGAATACATTTTTATAGGCTGTGCAATTGGTTTCTCTTTCCTATCAATTTAAAAGAAGAGTTTGGTATTTTAAGAAGTATGCGTCTTCTTATTTTAGGGGGTTTGAGATTCATACAGTGGGGGAAATAATTATTTGATCCCCTGTTGAATTTGTGACATTGTTCACTTGAAAATGAGCAATTTCTCATTTTTATGGTAGTTTCCTTTTAATGGAGAGAGGCAGAATATCAACCAAAAGTCCAGAAAAAACACATTAAATAAAGGTCGTAAAATGATTTGAAACAAGAATTTGATTCCCAAGCAAAACATCACTTAGTACATGGTGGCGAAGCCTTTGTTGGTAAGAACAGCAATCTCATGAGGGATTTTGTCCCAGTCCATTTCACAGAAACCCTCTAAATCCTTTAGGTTTCATGACTCCACAGATTTTCTATAGGACTGAGGTCTTGAGACATTCTATGACCTTTATGTGGTTCTTCTTTATTTTGGGTCACCGTCATGCTGGAAAACCCATCCGCTACCTATCTTTAGGGTTCTGGCTAAGGGAAGGAGGTTCTCATCCAAGATATTACAGTACATATCTCCATCCACTGATCCCTCAATGCACTGAAGTCATCCTGAATCAACCCCAAAAGCATGTTTGCACCTCTGTGCTTGACTGTGAGGATGGTGTTCTTTGGGTTATACTCGGCATTTCTCTTCCTCCAAACATGGAAGGCTGAGTTGTTGCCCAAGGGATCAGTTTTGTTTTCTTCTGTTAGCAGCACTTTCTCCCAAGCCTTGTCTGAATCATTTAGATATTCTCTGGCAAGATCAAGATAGGCCTCTGCATGTGCCTTCTTGAGCAGGTGAACCTTGCGGTCAGGCCAAGATTTCAATTATTACAGCACAGCGTATTACCAATGGTGTTCTCAGTGACTGTGAGAACACCAATGCCTCCTCTCTTGGTGGTGAAGAGGTTGGAATTGAAGGAACTGATGGACAGGTGCTTCATACATATGACAAGTTCAGATCTGTAATTCAATGATTGGTTGATTGTAATCTATGTGCTGCATGGGCACAAAGACAATCTATGAGAGAAAGAATTTTGGCTGCTTGAAGAGGATCAAATACTTATTTCTCTCATTAACCTAAACATGTATGACTTTTATGTATTTTTTTTGGATTTGTGGTTGATATCCTGCCTCTCTCTGACATTCTCTCTGTTAAAATGAAAATACCATCAAAATAGAGCCTGTTCATTTCATTGGTAGTGAGCAAACTTACAAATTCAGCAGAAAATCAAACAATTATTTCCCCTACTCTGTCTTGGTCTTAAACATGAAGCTACTGCCAGCAGCCTTTAACATAAAGACCGAAAGTAGATGAAAGTAACAAAGGTGGAAGAACTGAAACAAGCGTCTAGGTCAAGCTTCACATTTACTATACAGACATGTGATTGTCTCATCTGAGTCTTGGCAACAAAACAAATGTCTTTCTCAAGATTAGTTGAAGATTATTATCAATAAATGGGGGATTTGCTTGTGTTTTCGCTGGTTTTTCTCAGGATCTTGGGTTTCTCCCACTATTAAAAAACATGCTAGTTTAAAATGGCCTATCTTGGCCTAAGACTCTCTCTCTCAAAAGACACCCTTTGTCTCCAGAGTTTCACTTTCTTGCTAAATAAAGGTTCCAAAAGCAACCAAAAGAAAAACACAAACATACTTTCCCTTTTAAAGTAGTGTGGGGTCTCTCTTGCTGAAATGATATACACAAACAGCCTCATAACCTGATGCAATTCACTTACCTGTAGAAGTTTTTGTTGACCTTCCTCTCATGAGGGAACCCCAGCATGCCACAGACCACGCGGGTGTTTTTGGCTGTCCAGCCTACATCGCAGATCTGTGCCCAGCCATCTTTGTATTTCACCTCTACCACACCTTCCGTGATGGGCAGCTTCTTTTTGGCCACGCCAACCACTGGCCTGAGTCGCACCTCCTCGACTTTGTTCTCATCAACTTGTGCCTTGCAGAACAGGAATAAATAACAAATATATTTATTTATACAGGATCACAAGTTGCTCTTGGAGCTAAATTATATGGATGAAAGCTAAACTATTTATGAAACTTGTCCTGCATGAGAGGACCAGACTACACACTGACTCACGTCTGTACCGGACAGTATTTTTCAGGTCTCGTGCTCTCACTAACAGCTCACGAGTGGTAAACGTGACTCCGATTGCCAGCGATGCACTGACTCACTTCCGCTGCTGTTTATTTGGAAAAGAAAATTCTGGCTCTGGTCGTAGATTAAAGTCTGGATGCCACATTTAAGCAACCCTCACTCACAGCAACAAAGAAAAAGAGGGAAGATGGTCATGTATCTGAAAATCCACTCACTTATTCCTATGAAGCTTTTTGTATTTAATGCAATCTTCCTGTGTCATCTGCTCATTCAGTCTGTGAAGACGAGTCACCAGAATAACCTTGTTCACCTGGGACCATTCAGTTGTGCAAACAACATCAAAGACAGAGACCGACTGGAAAAAAATCTCAGCCAGCAACCCACCTATGTGTGTGTCCTGAGAGGCTCTGAGTTGCACATCTTTATTTATTAAATGAGGGCATGGTTTAACTGTGAGCTTGACATTCATGTATTCTGCATAACGTAAGGTGTTAGACGCAGAAGTCCTGCCTCAAGTACAGAAACTCATAAATGAACTGGTGACATCCATTTTTTCAAAATGCACATGAGTTTCACTGGCAATAGGTACAAAACACTTTTAAAACTACAAAACTACAGAGACCTAGATGAATGGTCAAATTAAACTACTTTACCTTCAAGCCTACGAAAGCATCATAGCCAGGAATTTACTGGATCAACAACAAAACAAGTGTTTTGCCCGGCTATAACTGACTGTAGCTGCTAAGTTTATTACAATTTTACCTCAGGAGTTTACACTTGGAGAAGCTTTTGCTTTCAGCAGGTTAGACACGTTATACAAAAAGAGCTAATCAGCACCATGTGCACTAGCCACAGGTGGAGCTGCACAGGGTCAAGTCCATAAACTGTGAAGAAAAAGGATTGTTTATGAACAAGCGACGGCTTCTTAATCGGCTCTAACTTAATCTCTCTTAAATATGTTTCGGCAACTTACTTCAATAACATTCGAGTCCACGAAGCCGGGTATCCTCTCATCTTTGCAGACAACTCCGGCATCTTCATCGTGAGTGCAGTCGCTGTTGCCCCAGCCACGGGACTTGCAGAATTCGATGCTCTTCTCACCTCCGTGACACTGCACGTTGTCCAGCCAGATTTTTCCTACGCAGGCGACAGACTGTTAGGGAAACTCCACCACACTCCCAGGAGGGAGAAAGCAATAAACCCAAAGCTGGAAGTAGCACTTGTTTGCAACACTGGTGGTCTAGGAAAAAACGTTTGCAGCTGCACTTACGATTTCGGTGGTTATAGTTTTATTAAAATCACTACAAGACTTTTTAAGGCTAGACACGGCGGCTTTCTAAGGTCGATCTAAATGCTAACATTGACGTCGTTACTTACACACAAAGGCAATGCTAACATGTTCATGGAATGTTAGCATGGCAACTTAATTAGTTCCAAAAACCTAAGTACAGCTAGAGGTGATGGGAATGTTATTATTTTACAAATATTTATTCATAAACATCTGGAAACATACTGTTTTTTTATTGTGTAGGACCACAAAAAATTGTCCTAATGCACTTCCTAAAAAGTAAAGGCGTTTCACAGTTACTACAATTTAGGTAGTAGTCACTGAGGTGAACAAAAATACAACCCCAATTCAAAAAAAAAAGGTGGGAAGCCGTGCAAATGGTAATAAAAACGATTCTACTCAATCATTTTCAACACATTACACAAAAAGCTAAAGACATCAATCTCATGCTTAATAGTCTGGATCACCAGTCAGATGACCCAATCCAACCCTGTGGTTCCTGAGATACTTTCTGCTTGAACAAGAATTATTTCACTAAATATTAATAGTATAATACTGGGTTTAACTTTATATGTAAGTATTATCTTCAAGTGCGTCACACTGGGGAGTCTAGACAAACTAAATTTTATGTTGGCACATAATGTTGTTGGAAACAACTACTTTTCTGAACACCCTTATGTGTGTTACATCATGTAAAACACAAATGGATGATCACACAGTATATTTAACTGAATGCTGAAATTAGACACACTCATGGCTGAAGCCACCCTTACCTTGGCCTTTGCCATATTTAGCACTGTGGGTCCATCCTGTGGCTGAGACGAAGCCCAGATGGTGGCAAAGTACGTGGGCGTTAGCTATCGTGAAGTCGTCATCACAGATGGTTCCCCACTCTCCCTTGTAGAACAGCTCTATCCGTCCCTCGTTGTGTTTTCGAGGATATCCAGACAGTCTGACCTTTAGTCTTTCGGGCCGGGGGGATGGGGATGGTGTCGGTGTCGTTGTGGGCTTTGACGTGGCGGTGTTTGACGGTGTAGTTTGAGTTAAACAGTAAGGCAACCACAACCCAAGCAGGAGGCTGAACGCTAACTGCTGCTTGCATCTTGATTTATCCATTATTTCAGCTGCATATAAAGGAAGGTGCAAGAAAGTTATTATATACTTCTACATTTAAGAAAACACAGAGAGAAAACACAACACAGATATCAGAGTTGTACTGATTTCTACAACTCGTTTTTCACTGGGAAAAAAGTCTGTTTGTGCTGTAATTACCAAATATTCCTTTACGTCAATTCAGACAGAGATTTAACTCTTTGAAGTGTTTTTTTGAAAAAGTCGACCCCTCTTTCTTAGTTAGATCAGCTCCCACTCTAATATGGTTTCATTGACTGGTATAAAAAGGTGACCCCAGAATTTTAACCCTGATTCCTTGAAGAGTCTCTGGGTGCCCCAATGCAGTGTAATAGAAAAAGTACTAACCCTCTCCAGGATTTCTTAGTTCTTTTTCCATATTTCTCACATTTTCACCCCTTTTTAAATCATGATTTAACTGAGAGTAACCACTATCCTCACACTGGTCTCTTTACCAGACCTGATGAATCCAAAACTCCCTGAAAAGAACTTGTCTGACAAAGTGATGTAGCTTAAAAGATCTCAAAAAAAGCAAAACATTATGCCACGAACTGAAGAAACAGCTGAGAAACCGAGTCATTGACATCTGTTAATCAGTGGAAAGGGTTACAAAACAATTTCAAATCTTTTGAGAAACCACAGTGAGAGTCCTTATTTACAAATTGAGAAAACTTGGAAAAGTGGTGAACCTCCCCAGGAGTGGCTGGCCTTACAACTTTACTCCAAAAGCACATCAACGACTTTTTCAGGAGAAGTTCACAAAAGAACCCAGAACGACATCTAAAGAACTGCAGGCCTTTACTCCGTTAAGATCAGTGCTCATGGTTCAACAATATGAAAGAAACTGGGCGAAAATGGCGTCCAATACAAAAACCACTGCTGACCAAAAAGAACACAAAGGCTCGTCTCACATTCCCCAAAAAACATCTTGATGATCTCATAGACTTTTGGGGAGGTATTCTGTGGACTGATGAAAAAGAAGTTGATCATTTTGGAAGGTTTGAGTCCTGCTACATCTGACATAAAACGAATGCAGTATTTCATAAAAACAGCCAAACATGGTGGTGGTAGTGTGATGGTCTGGGGCTGCTTTGCTGCTCTGTTGCTTCAGGACGTGGACTTGCTGTAATTGATGGGACCATGAACTCTACTGTCAAACAGAAAATAATGAAGGAGAATTTTTGGCAATGACTTCCTGCTCTGAAGCTCAAGCACACTTCATACCAGTAAGTCCACCTCTGATTGGCTCAAAAAGTAAAACAAAATGAAGGTTTTGGAAAAGTCCAGATTAAACCAGATTGAGATTCTCTAGCTTGTGTGACCTTACACGGGCCGTTCATGCTCGAAAACCAAATATTCCCCCATAGCAACTTAAAAGATCGTGACTAGATATAAGAAATGCATGATTGCACTTCTTGCTGGAAAAAGTGACACAACGAGCTATTATGGTTAATGGTCATTTACCCCTTTTGCATAGGGCCACATAGGTCATATATATAACTTTTAAATAACTTTAAAATAAATGAAATCCTGATTTTTACAACTATATTCTGTATTTACTCAGGTTATTTCTGTCTAACATTAAATTTGTTTGATGAGCTGAAACGCGCAAGTTTGACAAACATGCAAAAAAATTAGGAAATCAGAAGGGGCGCAAATACAGTAACTGCAACAGTATTTTCAGCACATCGCGCACAACACACAAACTGCTCGCCCTCAGTGTATTTTCTAAATAGCTGCAACTGCTGCTGAAAAAAGCGCCTCAAATATGCTCAACACATGGAAGGATTGATGTTGAGGGTGTAGAGTTGCTCCAGCAGTCTGATTCAAACCAGCTGGTTAATACTTGATTCTGATGTGTGTGGGGGTGGGAGGAGATCGCGCAGGCTTTAATGACCCCATGATCTGGCTGAATTTAAAGGCCACATGAATGTTTATATCTATTAAATTAATTAAAGTGTCCTTGTAGCTTTCTGTTCAACCTTTTTCAATTTGTGCGTGCTAATGTTTCACAATGACGAACAGACAGTACTCTGGGTTAATAATTAATAAATTATTAATAAATGTTTTTTTCTATGAAATACCAAAAGTCTGATTTTTCTCAAAAAACCTCATTCTGCTCTTTTCGGCATAGGCCTGCTATTGATAACCTGACAGCCACGCTCCTTTTGAGCTTTCAGCGAGTGGACGTCTGTCCCTCCAGAGACACAAATGCAGCAGTGTGGTGTGTTTGTACAGAAACCACAAACTTAAGTTAACCTTTCCAAAACATGATCTAAGGCTGAGTACATCATCTGAGTCCAATTTCACGCCGAATGGAAGGACACACACATTCACAGTTGGTCAGAAGAGGCTTTTAACGGCATAGCCAGCACGTCTGAAGCTGCTTATTTGTGTGTTCTGTGTCTTGAATCGTTCTCAAAAATATTTTTTAAGAAGAAAATCAAATGAAAACACTGTTTCCTTACATTCGGGTAGTTAGCAGAGCATATAGCTGCAAATGTTTCCCTTACAGAATAATAAACTGACGTTTACACACTTCCTTGCAGACATTTGTTCTTTTAGAATTTGTCTTCTTATTCTGTCAGACACACAACTTGAAAGTTGTTTCGCTTCCTGACTATGGTCTGTGAGACCCAGTGAGGCTTGTAAGGATGTGTGTGCTGAGCAGATGGAAGCTGGAAACTAAGAAGGACTGAACGAGTTTGATTCATGAGTTTGGCTACAATGAATGAGTTTGATGAGACACATCAAAGCCAGAAGAGTTACTGACTCTTTGCATATTTTCATTAAATATTTTTAGTGGGTGACAAACTTGGACTACATAATTGTCTCCTTTACTGCAGAATGATGCTGTTATAATATGTGCATATAGGTTGAGCATGGCCTTCCTTGGAATGGATGCTATTTAGGTGGAAGTATTTGTTTATATTATATGTCCTTTAGCATTAATGATGTCTTCACAGATGCACAAGTTATTCACGCCTTGTGAGGTAATGAACTGTTAAAGGTTCATGGATGCTGGCTTTTGAAATATGAGGTGCTAACAAGCCAGATGCTCTTCAGCACCAGAGGATGTGGTATCAACTATTTACAGATTTTCATTTTCTTATCATAGAGCAGACATGAGAGCTGAGAATCTTTTGCCCATGTCAGTTGTATACAGGAAGCCCTAAATTCTCTGTAATTTCAAGCTAATAAATATTTTTGAACCATTTTCCCATCCTGACTATGACTTTGGAGAACTCAGGATCTCTGGAATGCTTCCCCCCTCTCCCCAACCATTTTACTGGCCTGATTCTAATCAACTTCATTGTTAGCGTGTTAGTTTCTTTAGTTAGCATCACACAGTTTCACATAGTTTCAACATAGGATACATTTTTGAACTACTTTTTGCATTTTGCATTAAATGATTTGCTTCATTGTATTTTGTTCCCCGTTTTTTTTGGGGTTTCTTTTGCAGATTATTATAGAGTAAAGGTTGTAAACAAGGTAAGTTTTGCTAAAATATGTGGCAGACCAACACTAACATTTTAACTCTGTTGTAAACATCCATCAGAGTTTACAGACAGCTTCCTGTTTTTAGACGTACACATAATTTTTGTGTGTAAAGACCTATTATTATCACCATTTCAAATGTGCTAACTTTTGTCAGTAGTTTAAACCATTTACAACCCGCTGTGTGTCTTTGCCTTTACTATTGCAAAAATCACCATGTTTTCAGATGTCAGGCAGTACTTTGGTCAGTATAGAGTTATCATAGTTGACAGACATGACACCTAACAAAAATAATGACCTCCAGGTTACGTGACATAGAATCATCCCCATATGGAAGCAAGGATACAGAACCATGCAAAGGTATTAGGCCACCCTTAATTTCTTTATGTCTTTGAAGGAAAATGAGAACTAGGTGCTGGGACTTATTAAAAGCTGTGTAAAGATAAATACAAACATAATAAATAAGGCAAACAAAGACTTTGTACAATTATAACAAGCCTGAAAAGCAATATTTGTCTGTCTACAACTTAGCCTGAACTCTCTTAGACAAGCTTTCCTTAAGTAGTCTCCAGGAATAGTTCTCCGGGCTTCTCAAAGGCCATTCAAAGCACTTTGGATGTTGGCTGCCTTTTGTTGTGTTCCCTGTCAAAGATGATCCCACACTGCTTCAATAACGCTGAGGTCTGCACTCGGGGGAAGCCAATCTTTTTCTATTCAGGTATGTTTTAGTGGGCTGACAGTGTCTTTGGGATCATTGTCATGGAGATAAATTAAGCAGTTGCCAATCAGATGCTTTCCAGATTTTACCACATGGAAGATCAGATCTGATGATGTTTTTCTGTTTATAATTCCATCAGTTTCGATGAGACCTCCAACTCCACTGGTTGAATTCCAGCCCCAAACCATGACAGAGCCTCCACTGTGTTTTACAGATGGCTGTAAAACACTGTTGTACTTCTTTCCTGATCACCTCTGTACATGTTGACAATGGTTTGAACCAAACATTTCCAACTTGGATTCCTGACTTCATATTACTGATTTGTCTCTGATTTTCAGTGTAGTTTTCGTATAATTTGGTATACCTTAACCTTTTCTGTTATTGATTAAGGATGCAAAACGTAGCTACTGGTCATCTACTCTAGATAGCTTTATTTTAGGCCACTTTTGCGTTTGTCCTCCACTTTCCTCAATTTTTTAAAGAACACACTGCACATCATGCCACGTTTTCAGCCAACAGCTATTTGGGAAGTGCCCAGACTGTGCAAAGATACTACTTTATGCCAGCCAAACTGTGTTGTCTTTGAGAAATAAACAAATGATGTGTTTTTGCAACAGCAAGAAAATATCTAAAGATACCATTTAAAACCAGTTATTTGGTAAACTGTCTGTCATGTATAGACACAAAATAGATTCATCCATTGAGCTGGGTGGAAGACCTCCAGAAAGCCTGAAGAACTAGTGGAGTACAAACAATAACTAGTTATTTTCTGGTTTCTGTAGCCTTTGTTAAAAAAAGAACCTCGATACAAAGTCTGAATCTGATGTTTCTGATCCAATCACCCATTTTCTCATCCTAATGTTTCTATTTCTATCATCAAAGCAGCCACTCTCCATACCAATGTGCTCATGGATCATGTCTTGTGAAAGGCTCAAATCAACCGGGCAGCAGTTCACCAAATCAGCACAGCTCTGACTCACCCACATACACAACACTCTTGGCCATTATAAAGTCTTACCCTGCACAACATCATGCCCACATTCCCACCAAAAGCCACACATTTCTCATTCTTAATCTCTAAATACTTGCAGAAATCTGTACTGTGCTGTACTTTCACAGACTGAAAATAAACTAGCAGTTTGAGCTCTATGGGCTAAAAAAAAGATTTCCCTGCCTTTTTGCAACATTGACTTTTGGGGTACTTTGTGAAACTTTATACTAAGAATAGTCCAGATGAGCCACAAGGAGTTGGATGGATGGAGGACAAAACTGACCCATAAGCCCGTTTCAATAAAGCAGCACAACATGGAAATCTGTGGTGGCTAAACATTTCCTGGACATTTTGACACAGTGCAGTTTAAGTATGTTGGCATTCTGGTTCATCTAAGTGCTAAGCAAGGAGTTGGACTATTTAATCTGGATGATTAACTGGCTGTTAAAAGCATCTGAGCACAAATCAATTTATCAATATCTTAATATAAAAAGGATTTACAGTATTATTATTATTATTATTATTTTAAATCTCAGTAAATGTTCTTCAAATCCACATCCACATCAGCACCTCACACCACGCAGGAAGTTTCTTGTGAATGGACAGACGGATTTTTCCGAAGTCACTGTTTGTCTTTCCTGTCGCAACATTCCTCACATGTTTGATTCTGCATCCCAAAAAACTGCTCAGAGAAACAGCCTGTTTTACCACTCTGCGTACTGGGAGACCATACCTACGGCGCAGACGGTAAGGCAGCTTCACGGCTTTCAAATAATACAGTATAGTTTTTGTTTTAAATCCAGACTATGACTTGTGTAAAAAATTGCATCAAATAATCTGACTAATCATGAAGTAGTCTTACCTTATAATGCCACGGCGGAAAGGTTACAGCGGGTCTATTGGAGAGAGGGAGATGTGTCCTGAAGTTTATTAACTGAACCCAAAGTCAGAGGAAGCATAAAATCCCAGTTCTTGTGCTAAATCGCCCCCTCCATCAGACACAGGTTTCATTTGTAGGGCAGTGGTCCACCTTCTTCAAACGTTGTTGTCCGTAAATTGGCAGCTGCCCTCACCCGAGGAGGAGGAGGAGGAGGAGGGTACGGGACTGAAGGGGGCTGGATTTTTTTTTTCCCCCTGGAAAGACACAGACTCTTTCATGGATGGTTCTGTAACAGACTGTCTTGCCTTTCGTAACTTCAAAAAAAAAAAGAAAAGAAAAAAATCACTTCGCCAATTTCACTCAGAGCCTACGTGTCTGTTAAAGCGCACAACGTGTCAGCGGCAGATTTACAACCGGGGTTAAAAATGTGCGACCACATCGACAGTTCCAGCTGTAATGCCTCTGCTAATGGTTTTTGCAATCCACTTGATGTTGCCAGTAGTGCTGGCCAAGTAGTACTTGGTACATTAAATCCTCCTCCGATTATATCTTGAAAAGAAACTGACCAAACTGCATAGACTGTCTGTGCCAAATGGAATAAAGATACACTTTAAGATTTTATATCAACCAAGATGAGACAGACATTTCTGTCAAGTTAAAGGAGGCGGGTGCGTTTTGGTAGGTTTAAACCAGCAAGGACAAAAATAAATAAATAAACAAAATAAAAGCGGGAATTATGTATTAAATATTTTCAGTGGTAAATCACTAAAATACTGGAATTTGTTCCGTTGGAAATTTTGGTCTCGATCCCCAGTATTGCTGATACCAACACTGACAGTTTTAACCAGCGTATGTAATAGAGATTAGTAAGTCATGATTTATATGGTGAATCAGCATAAATTCACACATTTTGGACACATTTTAATGACCACAAAATTATCACTAATTCTTTTTATTTTTACACAGCTTTCAGCTTTTCATGTATTTTGAACCTGGCATTTTTGGAGACCTGGAAAGTTGGTTAAATGTGCTATAAGATATACATAAAATAGCCGTGACAGTCAAGACAACAAATGTTCAGACATTTTTCAAAGTGCTTGTTTGAGGTGCATTTTTATTAGCAATCCCATACCAATAACATCACTGGTATTGATTCTATCAATATTTTGATTGATCTGCCCAGCTCTATAAAACATGCATTCACTTACCTGAGGGGAAGTTGTTCCTTAGTGCCACGCCAGTGACTCTTTAAAATTTTCTACACTTATTGTATCCCACTATTTGGCACTTGTCAGGTTAAGTAATAGAAAAACAAAACATCCCACAAACGCAACTTATGCAAAGTCCCAGAAACAGCTAGAAGACCAACTAGCTTATAGAGCAACTAGATGTAGCTTATTGTTAGCTTAGCATGAACAGTAGAAAGCAAAAACCTGGCTATGGCCAAGCATGAAATTTACCCACAACCTCATTAGTTTTTAAGCTGTGCAACACACTATAGTATAATATACTGCAGTATAACAAGTGCCATTTTAAAGAGTAGCTGTTTAGTAGCCAAGCTAATCTGTAAGCACATAATTTCCTTAAAGTAACCTGATTTTCATTATTCTGAAGTGGCTGGTTGAACCCTTTAGCTTAGCTACAAACTCAGCCATCTCCAAGTAAAAATACATTTTAAAAACGAACAACTTGTCATTTAAATATCCCCAAATGATATGTCCACGTGTAGTTAGAAACATGAAGAGTTTGCCAAGTTGGTATTTAATAGGGAAATTCAATAAGAAACGTGACATTATTCTATTACAAAAAAAGTACAAAGTTTTCTTTGTATAAGCAAAAGGAGAGAGAGCTTGAAAAACACAAGTTTTAATTTTAAAAATCGCATGGCTGAATACTGTACTGTATTTGGTACAAAAACATGTGAGGCACTTCATTTAAAATCAGCTTAGTGTATCTACAACTTGCTCATAGATCTCTAATAACTGACACCTGAAAAACCGTGTCTGCAGCTATTTACCAAGTCGTCTCTTCACTGCTTAGATTAACTTTATTGACCCATAATCGATGGATGGACTCGTTACTAAACAGAAAACAATAAAACCGGACGGATAATGAAATTCTAACAGTGTTTCAGTTTTCTCAGTTCAACTTTGATATAACCTTAATAATGAACGATCGTCACAGCAAGTAGTACATGAATAGGAAAAACCTAAACTGGGATCACAGCGTTTAAACACCTCTGTTGTTGGGAATCAATCAAGTTTCTGCTTTAAAATGCCCGTTTTATTTATGTGGGGAAATACAGGCGAATGATGCCACGACTATTACCTGTACTTCACATGCTCATTCATCAATATTTGTCTAATCAATTGCTCTGATTTCTCTGTAGGAATAGACTGGTTCAAGAACAGTTGACACCCAGCAGTGCAGATATCCTAATACACAACACAGTTTTTGATTACCAGCACTGAAATCTCAACTGGGAAGAGCTTTTTAAGAGTGCTATATCACTCTTCACTGAGGCAGAAATCATATAGAAATGTTATATAATCTATAACAGTAACAGATCTGCTTAAAATAGTGGCCTGAAATGTATTTTTCTTTTCTGTTAAATATTTTCATTTCAAATCCAACAGTGACATTGAAATGTTACATAATAAAACAGACAGAAAAGAAAAAACAAACAGTAAATGGTTGTAATTTTTTGCAGTGTTAAAGCTTATCAAGGCCACCAGGTGGATGGGAGTTCCATCAGGTTAATAACAGAAACACTAAACTCAATTCATTATGAATTCATCATTTATTACATTACAGTTTTAGAGAGCAGTTACTAACTTCTAAGGTAAAGCTGATACTTTCTTTTTCTAAGAATAACCAGCAGTTGTTTCCATTCAAAACTGTAAAAAAGCTCAATTTTTCTAATGCCAGAGAAAGCATTTAAAATACATTGTGTCTGAAATTAAGTTGGTGATTTTATAGTCATTTTCTAAAATTTAAGCCACATCACACTGACGAATTATACTTTCATTACTTCTTCCATCCACCTGGTCCCACCTTGGGTAACATACAGTTAAAAATGATAGCAAATATTTGGACAAGAACCTGATACCCACTGAGGGGTAAAGAAAGTCAACATGACAGGACTGCCTGCTGAAAAGTACTTTTTAAATGAAGTGTTTCAGGCAACCCCGGTGAATTTCTTTGAGGTGCTTCAGACTAAACGTGGCTCATTTCTGCAGAGTCCTGCATACAATAACTGTCAGCTTTGCTGTGTACAACTTCATGGCAGGAAACCGGTTTATTTCATCTACTGACCAAAATAGCAGATGTGTAGAAAAACCTAGAAGTGAATTTCACCACTTAACAAACTTTACAAGATTTACCAGCAACTGGTTGGTGGCTGGAATAACATCTCACACTGGAACTAATTGGTAACAGTCTAAAGTGCTAATGGTCTTTGCAGCAGATTGACAGGTACTTCTTTGGGTGGATTAGGACGGATGCAGAAGCTCTAACAGGGCTCCAACTGCACCAAAGTAACCCTAAAAACAGCAACAAATGGCACAAGGTGGCAGTTAGAAGTTAGAAGATACTATACATGTGGTCTTTGATGGGAGTAAGGGGTAAACTTACTAACCTCATGGCGAAGGAAGAGTGCCTTGAGCTGACCTTTAGACCAGTAGTCCATGGCATAAGCCAACAGCTTCATAGAGAGGGTGTTCACTCTTAGGAAGTTCCCAACAAACAACACAGTCTCGATGTTCTTTACAAAAAAAAAAAAAAAACAAGAATAGGGATGGAAACTATTAGTGCCTAAACAACTGATGAGAGACACCAGAGTTTTAGAATAACTGATATCACACTAGAAAAACAAGGGAAATAATGTAACTCATTCATAGCTCAAGGAAAGAAGATCCACAATGCAGTTTACCTCCTCTACGCCTTCATAGCCCTGTACAATGCTGCTTGATCAAGACGGCACAAGGCAGCACCGTAAAGAGGCTGAACGCAAAGAGGAAACAGACAGTAGGAACTGCAGGGGGCAGACTGTTCAACAGAGGAAGACAAAAAAACCTCCTCAAACCTTTTTATAGTTGTGCAACTGGGAACACAAATCCTAATTCCTTGCAGTCTCTGAATGAACAATGAGGTAGATGGTAGCATATATACTCTGTAAGTGTAGCTGATTTGATCATTTAGAGGCTACACAGCATCCTCCATCCATCTAGGTGGCTCACCTCACAGCTTTACATCATATATATCTGCAATCGCGGCATTAAGACTCACAGTGCAACAAATGCACACTTAAGGTGTGGCTGTTACATTGTCATCACTACTAACCTCATTCAGAGCACACATTCTGGTGATGGAGCCGATGTTATTGGTGATGGTGACCAGTGTTGCCCTGGCCAGGTCCTCTTTAGAAACAGACTCCCTCTTATCTTTAGACATCATGTTGCCGAAACTGCCAAAGCAAGGCAAGATTTATGTTTGGAAGGTCGCTCAATTTTAGAAGCTGAGCAATTATAATTCTGCCTTTGACGTACAGCAATACTGAACATCTTATAAACAACACCAAAGCGGACAGAATGCGTCAAAGTACATTCGTTTTTAAGACAGATATAGCTAAACATTGAAAGCTGCAGTGATGGATCTGTAATTTAGAGCTTACTTTTTTACTAAATTTCAATTGTGAGATTCAAAATTAAGTAAACTTAGCACAGTCCTGGTTCCTTGAATCATCTACTTATGCTGGAACATATCACAAACAGGGTTGTGATATAAAGAATGAACAAAGGCAGCAGCTTTAAAACGCACCTTGAGGCCACAGCCCAGCCTGGCAGCCCAAACCTCTCATAGTCCCCTCCATAGATGTCTCGCACCAGCTTGTCCACACGAGTGCTCTCCCCCTGAGAAGCCATTTCTAAGGCTTCCTCAAATGTAGAGCAGCCGGTCAGCAGGCAACACAGGCCAAGGAAGGTCCCACCACCAAGGCTGTGAACACATGCAAAGTGACATGTAAGGCGTATGTAAATCAAGACATCTTAGAGTAAAATAAAGTGTTTAGGTTCTGAAATTACAGGGGAAAGACACGTCTATGCATTAGAGACTG